CAAACAGAGGAGCCTGGAGGAGGGCGAGGGGGAGGGGAGGGACAGTTCTCTGCAGCCAGGCGGGGAGCTCCATTTCTGGGAAGAGAGATGTAGCCATCCAAAAGCAGACACACCCAGAGCGGGAGCCATAAAGGCCGGTCCCTGCTGGGTTCCCAATGCCCGCCTCTGCCTGTTGCTTCCCACTCACCCAGCCCTGCATCCTCAGATGCTGCTGGCTCTGCTTCAGCAAAGGGGAGTGCAACAAGCTGCATCTGCCCGCTGCTGCTTCCTATGCTAATGTGGCAAACCGAGAGACTAATTTTCTGCAAATCTTGCCATGAGAACTCTCTCTGTTCTGGCGGAACACCACACCACACAGTATATAGCTTCTTGATGTTAACAAACACCTTTTTCTGAAGACTGCAAACTTTTCCCTTTCAAAGTGTACAGCTATAGCACTTGAGCAAGATTTTTATGCCTTTATCAAACATATTTCTATCGCAGCCGTGAAAGACAGCTCCATATTCTTATCTATGGGTGCGACCATACAGAGAAACAGATTGCATTTGGGCCACATCTGGAGCAGTCCAGTGCAATTGTATTTTGTAGTGGAAACAAAATGTATGAGGAGCGGTGCTACAGCCTGACCCACAAACGTGCCCCAGTTGGACCTTTGTGGTCCAGCTGTAGTGCTGCTACTTTTGGGGGCTGGGCTAGAGCAATTCACTGACAGATAAAAGAATTGTTTTAAGAGAGATTGCTCCCTGCAAAGTGACCTTTTCCAGTGTGATTGGATACGTGCTTTTCCCACCATCAGATTGCAACCTATAGTACAGTACACAGATTTGAGCTCCGTATTCAGTTCTAACACGGCTGTGATGTGCATACTCTTAAACAGAAATTCTACCATATTTAAAAGTGAAATGATATAAGAATTATGAGAGCATAACTGCACAGGACAGCTACACATGCTTAAGTATATACAAGACAAATTCTTTCTCAATGAAGGAGGAATGTCAGAGTAGAGACTGAGCAACTGAGCAAATCCTGGGTGTGGTGAGTCAGGAAGTGAATATGAATTAGAAGTTGAGCCTCTAGCTGTTAAAATATGGGTTGAGAAAAGCTGTAGAACATGTTCTGTTATTACTGAATGGAAATTACAACTTCCTCAAGAAGTTAAATCATATTCTTCTGAATATTTCTAAAAAAGCAAAATGTAGGCAGCTCAGCAGGATTTAAGCAAAACAAAACAAACCAGGAAGACTAATTCTACCGCTTTTTTGAAACTAAGCTGTCTCTTTAGTACTTGGGTTACCGGGTTTTTTTTATTTTTGCCATATCAGTTGCTATGATCAAGAGCCAGGAATGGAGAGAGGGTATTTTACACATTGCTGGGAGTTACGTATATTTTCTACTGAGTCAAGAAGACTGCTGGATTTTTAACACATATTCTCCTGTACCCCCACTTCACTAAAACAAGATAGCTATATCTCTCTTGCAAAAGGAGGCAGAATAGTTTGCTGATTGTGCCAACCCAGAAAATACAATAGAGAATCTTCATAGAATTATAGAACTGAGTTTAAAGGGGCCTGCCTATAAGGCCACTGACTCCATCCCTGCTCAATGCAGGAATACAAATCAAAGCAGATCTGACAGATGGCTATCCATTTTTTTCTTGAATGCTTCCAGCATTGGAGCAGTCACCACCTCTCAAGGTAATTGGTTCTACTGTCGTATTGCTCTAAATGGTTAAGAGGTTTTTCCTGATATTTAGCTGAAATTTGCTTCCTGTAGCTTGAGCCTATTATTATGTGCCCTACACTCTGGGATGACTGAGAACAGATCCTGCCCTTCCTCTGTATGACTACCTTTCAAGCATTTGAAAAGTACTATCATATTTCTCCTCAGTCTTCTTTTATCAAGGCTAAACATGTCTAGTTCCTTCAGTCTTTCCTGATAAGGCTTGATTTCCAGTTCCCTGATCATCCTTGTTGCTCTCCTGTGAAATTGCTCTAGTTTGTTCAAGTGTGGTGTCTAGTATTCTAGATGAGGATCTAGTACCTCACAGGATTTGGAGACTGTACTTCTGTTGGAGACTATACAGTACTTCATGATCTCTCCTCTTTGGAAATTTTGACCATGACTGATGGCAATCACAGTACAACAGCATATTCCCTGCCCCTGATATACAGCATGCCTAATGTTAAAGCTAATGTTCTTCTTCATAGGGAAGCATCTTATGTTATGCAAAGCACTTAAAGGAAAACTTAGTATCCATTTCCCAAAAGTAATACGAATCATCTGTCCCCTTCCACAGACTCTCTGCAGTTCTGGACCATAGAAAACCAAATACTGTATGACAAATGCTGCAGAGGAAGGGACAATGATGGCAGACTCACAGCTGTTTCCACCTGTTGGAGGATACAGCTAGACATGTCACACAACCAGTGCTGGAGCCCCATAACAAAACCCATTTAAAAGCAAACAAAAAAAATTGCACACATTTCAATGGCTACTATCAACAGCTTCTGTGCAAGAAGAAAGGAAGAATGCTGATTTTGTCATTCACTCTTTGGGAAAGCCCTGGAAAAGGATTCTTGAGGCATAAGTCACCCAGGATTCTCCATTACAAAGGATACTGCAGGATCTTCATAACACTTGATGCTAGCCCCACTGCCAAGTGCAGCCAATCCCCATGGGGAAAACTGGTACTTTGAAAGCAAATGCACAGCTGGATATGCTATAGTTTTGGACCGTTGCTGATGTAGACAGGGATGTATCCAAATAAGGGGCTCTGCTTTCAAGCAAGTCAGCAAGCTGGCTGATTTACTTACAAAAATAAGAGTGATCATATTAAGTCTTGATACACTTATACATACAGGCAGGCAGACACACATGCGCCTGGAAAGCATGAGTCATGCTGATCATGACAGTTTATTTTCAATTGAAGACAGCTGTTGCGTGTCTTTCTCAGTAGAGCAGTGGCTCTGAAAGTCTGGGGTAGGAGGCCATTCTGAGGGCCCTGAAGCACCTCAAGGCCATTTTGTGTGAAATAAATTCCAGGGCAATGTAAGATCCCAAAGCATTCCCCTCTTATCAGCCAAGGCTAAAAAAAGACTGCAAGTCCTTGACAGTGCAAATTCCCACTGGACAGCCTGAGATTCACTTGACTCACTGTACCCTCCTTACCCCAGCATTCCAGCATGATTCTTGCAAAAAAAGGGGGTTCAGAACCAATGGGTTCAACATATAAGAAAAAGGAGGTTCTGGCTGACAGCTGGTTCGCCGCTGCGGTCAGGGCTGTAGACATGATCGCACCTAAACGCCCTCTCCGACGCAGAGCCCGCCCGGCACCCTGGTTTAACCAGGACCTCCGGGCGCTGAAGCGGGTCAGGAGACGGCTAGAGCGCAAATGTGCAGGTTAGGAAGAAGTTCCCAGAGGGAAAACTATTCAATGGGAAAGAGATGGTATCAGAATGTAATGAATGTTCCTTCCTTGAGAGCTTTTAGGAAGAGACTAGATGCAACTTATGAGGGATGCTGTAGCTGAAAACATCCAGCTTGAGCCGGGGGAAGGGGTCACAAGTTGGATAAACTACCTTTGGAGATTCATTGCCGCTGTGACATTATATAAATTCTAAAGTGCTGCTGTGGAAAGGAAGGGATCAAAAAGAGATCACTTCCTTATCTTCTCTTAAAGCACTCCTTTATTCCAATTCTAACTCTGGTGATAAACTTGCACTTCCTAATGAATTAACTGTCAGAAGCGGAGATGGGCATTAACTGCCGATTTGGCAGTTTGGTACAGTTTGTTTACCAGCCGCACAGCTGATCCATAGTTCGGCACCCCGCCCTCTCCAACAGGTTGTCATGAGTGCATCCGAAGACCTGGACCAGGAAGGGTTAACTGAGGCTGAAGAGAATGCTGAGAGATCAGAAACACCTGAACAGCTTCCAGATTCTCCTTCCACAGCAGACAAGCTTTGGGCCAGGCTTCGGGAAAGACTTAGGACAAGGAGATCAGAGGATCGCTCGAAGGCTGTCCACAGAAACCTATGTTCATCTAGTCCTGAGTATTAACAGGATAGAAAGCTTTCCAGCAGCTCAAGGAGCTGTTTTACTATAAAACAGCTCCCAGTGAAGCCAGAAATTTTGTGAAAGCAAAGAGTGAAAACCTTGGCTTGCATCCATGCTTCTTGAACCGTGTTCCTGACTGGACTCTGCCCCTGGACTACGCTGGTATTGGACTTTGGACTATGATCCTGGACTATGCTGTGTATTGGACTCTGGACTTTGATGCTGGACTTAATTCTGTAAGTTGATTTATGGACATTGGCTTTGCATTCTAGGTATTCTTGACCCTGGACTGGTTTATCGGACTTCGGCTGTTGTAACCCCCAGGAATGTGACACAGGTGCCCCCTCAGAGGCAGGGCCTGGAGGAGGAAGGCAGGAAAACTGTGGGGCTGTGTCTGAGTGGGCGCCCTCCGGAGGGGACAGGGTGCCCAACTATGGATCAGCTGTACAGCTGGTAAACAAACTGTGCCAAACCACTGAATCAGTGGTTCATGCCCATCTCTACTCAGAAGCCTCTTGCTCTTTTTTTCCCACTGAAAAATACATACTCCCCTCCCCATTTTGAGATATTGTAGTTTGCTAACTATCTTTGGTACAGTTTCAGCACACCTAAGAAGTAATAAGTCTCCAAAAGGACCTGAAAATTATTTGCACCTATATACAATTCAGTGCACTGTCTATGAATTAATTAAAATTATTCAGATTTACAGTGCCCAAAAGCAGAAGCAAGCAAGTCAAACCATTTCATAAATGTCAGTAGGAAAAGATGTTCAACAACAAGGTATTGTCATTTTATAAAAAGCCTGTGAGGTTTTTTTCCCCCTTCCCAACTGCTTTATTAAAAGGAATCCATCCCTACAGGCTGTGAAGGATCAATTGTGGAAGGGACACTTATCCAAAGACATCCCCAGACTAGTTTAATTCCTTGAACACTTTTCTACTTACCAACATAGTAAGTGCTAGGAGCCTGTTGGTCATTCAATGTAGAGCCCAATATAGTTGTAGTCTTTGAATCATGACGAAGCCATAATGCCACACCAAGAATTATTCCTCCGGCCAACTGGAGAGGAAAAAAAAGGTGGGGGAGGCAGATTAATACAATTTTGACATCTCAAAGAAAAATAGATATTTACGCCACAAACACTTAGCAGAAATGTATCAAGACTAACCATGCATCCAAGATGTGTCACATATTTGAATATATCCCATCAGTATCTGTTAGACAGGCTTGCTTGGGATGACAAGAGTTATGGTTCAACTCAAACTTTGAAGGTTGGGGAAAGCAATAAATAAGTAAAAAGAATCTCCCAAAAAGTCTAGAATTGTAAAAGAGGCAGTCCCCAAACCAGCAAAATCAGGGAGCTAGATGGGGTACAGATTGTATTTGTCCTCAGTGTGGAAGGGATTGTCACTCTTGAATTAGCCTTCTCAGCCACACTAGATGCTGTTCCAAGTCCTCTCTTCAGAGCACGATACCACAGTCTTTCGAGACCGAAGGATGCCTAATCTAAATCTTTTTTTACAGCAAATTTCTAGCCCTAATCCTTGCACTAAGCATAAGGCCCTTTGACTCTCTCCTTTGCCAGAACCCACATATACCTCAAGAGGAACACATTCTTGCAAAATAATTTTTTCAAGTGTAAAATGCATAGTGTATAAAAAACTACAACAAACTAGAATGACCAAAGAATAAAATCAAAAGGTTGAACAATAGTTTGAATAATGAAAAAGCAACAGAACAACTTTAAGCAAAGAATCTGTTTCATGGAAGTCCATAGAGTTCTGGCTCTAAATCCTATTAATACAAAAATTGGACAGAATATATGTCAGAACTTCCTATTTTCAGGCAGCAACCCTCCCCATCATCCCATCTGTACAAATACAGTACAGTGGACCCTCTACTTAAGGAATTAATCCGTATTGGAATGGTGGCTGCAAGTCGAAAAGTCTGTAAGTCGAATCTCCATTGACCTACAATGCACTGAAAACCGATTAATCCCATAACCAGTGGTTTTTATTCTATTTTTATTCCATTTTGGTTTTTTCTGGTCTGTAAGTCGATTCTCTGGCTGCAAGTCGAATCTAAATTTTGCAGCCAGAGAAGTCTGTAACTCGAAAAGTCTGTAAGTCGAGCTGTCTGTAAGTCGAGGGTCCATTGTATATCAAGAGAGTGCCAGAGATACTAAAGTCAAATTGTAATTTAGACCCCTTCTCCCGAGTTAAAATAAACATCTGCCATTGCTGCAGTAGTTCTAAATTCTACTTTAGCAGCAGACAAATAAGAAAACAGCCCAGAGCTGCTCATAAAACTAGAGAGAAAAGTACACTTTTGCTATTTTTGCTCAGAGTTTGGAAGAATGTTGACAAATTGAAAACACACTCTGTAGGTCTCCAGCATGCTGTTTTTCCAATTATTATTCCAAGCGCCCAGTTCTGTCTTCCATATTCTGGAAGAAGACAGGGCTTCAGCTGCTTTCCCAACATGACATGGCTACCTAGAAGATCTGTATTCAGTTTCTTTCGTACTGGAAGACTGGTTGAGATGACCAGCTGCCAATGTCTCCAAACAGTTCACACCTAAAATCTGATCTATAAAATCTGATCTATGTATACAGTACTGTCTACAAACTATTCAATTTTTAATACAAAAACTGGAGTTCCTACTACAGTCCTCTGAAGATGCCGGCCACAGAGACTGGTGAAACATCAGGAAGAACAACTTTCAGAACACAGCCAAAGAGCCTGAAAAACCCACAACAACCATTATTCAATTTTTCTTTTTGTTTTTTGTTTTTTAAAGAGGGGAGTATCGGTCTTGCTCCCATCAGAAAGGAGAAACAGAGCTTTAATATACATTGAAACATAAACACACTATATTTGCTTGTCATCTTTTAGCTGTCTCTAGACTTTTGTATTTTGAAAACACAGAAGATGGACACTAATCCCACCATACTTCAAATTTGTTTGTCTCCTTTACAAGTAGAGGATGATGTTTTTCCTACAGAACAAACTCCCAGTCTATCTTCTCCTGCCTGGAGCCTTCTAAACATGTCAGATCACAACTCTTACCCTCTGCAGTTACCACGGCCAGGCCATATTTTGGAAGCTGTAGTATAATACATATACTGGCCACCAGGCTGGGGTAAGCCTCCCACATCAGTGTTGCATTATTTTATTCATTGCCTGATGAGGATACCCAGAAAAGCAGAGAGTAGCACAACTAAATATATTATTTCTCTCTTATTTTTAAATGAAGGCCTCTGTCAAAATTTCAGAGGATGATAGAAACAAATCTTCTACCTTGATACCAAAGATGTTTATTTGGCAGCTCTACCAATTTCAGCACATTTTATTTTCGAGAAAACTATCTGCAGAGACGCAACCAATAGCTTTTAGTAACTTTATTTGCTTTGAAGCAAAAATATTTCAAATCCAGCTGCATCTTTCAATCCAAAGATCTAAAATCAAATAAAAGGTCCTGCTGTGTAAATTATAGTAAACTACGATAGTACCAAATCCAGCATTTTGTCAAATCAATTCTGATGTGTGGTGATCCAGGCATGGTTTTTGAGGTACGTCAGATGTTCAATGAGTGGTTTTATATTGCCACCACCCAGCAAGCTTCCAAAGCCAAGCAGGAATTTGGAACATGTTCTTGTGTGTCACTGTCTTACACACTACACCACACTGGCTCTCAAGTAGAAATATACCATAGAAGCATTTATCAGGGACTATCATTTAGATCAGCAGAGACCTATACATTTCAGCTTCTTTTTTAGTAACTATTCTGCCATGTCCTATTCAATCCCTTTGAAGAGTGTGCTCAAACTATCCTCACCTATCAAGAAAACATTATTTCTTCCACAAAGACGGAAGCAGGCATCCAAATGAAGATAAACGTCTAACAGACCCCTGAAAGCTTCAGAGACATTATTGCTGAGTGAAAAATCTGGAAACCAAAGTCGTATCTCCTTTTGGCTGTTTGAGATTAATGTGAGTTTCAGCATATGAGAAAGATGCCATGAAGTATCTTAGCAACATCCTCCACTTAAAGGAAAGGCAAGTTTTGATTTCACTAGTGGGGAAAAAAAGTATATTTCAACATTTTGGTCAGTACAGCAAAGCCTCATGTGAGCCTTTGTAAATGCTGTTAGCAGGTTTGTGTTAGGAAACCAAACCAGAAATGAAGGGTCATTCTGCTCCCAAAATAATTTGCAACATTTTTTATAAGACACCCAATGATTGGAGGCAGATCTTAGAAACAAAGATGCCTTAGCTTTTCTCATTTATACAAAAAAGTGTAAGCTGCTAACAGAGTAAGCAGCACCAAGTAGCAACCAAATTAATCTGTGGATAGTCTGTGAATTGACTGAATTCAGATATAAGAACACATTTCCCCTTATGGTGATGAATCACATCCATGCTCCTTATTTTAAGAAAATTAGAAAGCTAGTGTTTTTAAGAGGAACAGTTGGAGATGAGAAAACTAATAAGAAACCTATTTCTGGCTAATTAGGGTGGAGATGCAGGGAGCTGTGACAGGTATCTCTTCTGTCTTCTACAGCAGTGGTTCTCAAACTTGGGTCCCCATATATTCTTGAATATATATATCCCATATATTCTTCCCATATATTTCACTATATATAGTTACCCCTAACAAATATTTCTCCTGGTGGCTCACAAACAACTAGATGACTGAAATACAGTATAAAACAATAAAAATGATGAAAACAAAACCCACAGCTAAAACATGACTTCAGGGTGGGAAGAAGTAATTTTATTGCTGCTATTGTTAGGTAAGTAGAACCACATTTAAAAATAGCAGCAATTCTTGCCAATCTTGCTGAAAATCATCCAGATCTACTTCATGCCCACTCCTAGACTAAGGAAACCTTTCTTTGAGGAATATTTTGAAGAGATCAGACTGGTATTTATTGGGAATACTTTAAGTAATTGAATAAAGAAACTCTACAGGAAGGTCACAAGCTCAGCAGATAGACAATCACCTGAAAGGAAGCCAGGTTTACAATATACAAACAGCACAGCCTCAAGGTTTCTGACCTTGGAAAGCCACCCTGGCTGCATGAGAGTTCCTGTGTCTGCATCGTAGAAGCAGCCTCTCAACTGCTTTCTTTATTGCCAAAGATTTATTGCTTCCAGGATACAGCACTGACAGCTTTCCATCCCTACCCCCTCCCCAACACACACACTCTTATTGAAGAGGAAAATGGAGGATAGAATAATAGGGTGGGGTGTGAAGAGAATTTAAAACAAAAAACTCAAATGTTGGGAAAGAGGAAGGAAGTAACTCCAAATGTAGCGACTTCCTGCAGACCGCAGTCTCTCTCTTGCTCACAAGTCACTTCAGCTCAAGAAGCTAGTTGGGTGTATCCTAGCTGCTATTCCACTCAACGATTTCTCTTTCTCTTCTCAGGGCTGAACTACGTTTGAAGGCAACTGTTCTACATGGAACTGCCCCAACCACACTGATTTTATGTCACTTTTAAAACAGGCACCTCCCTCTGACCGACATTTACCTCAGAGTGCCCTCATTCCCAAGCTCTTTTGTCCTCATCAACTGGCAGAAGAGCTCAGTTGAGGGGGAAAGTGCTAAGAGAGGGAAGCTATGGGAAGATGATGACAAAGGGTGAAGTTCAGCATTTCAGCGCACAAAACTACTGCCAGGCCTTCCAGCCTGGCATTCATGCATCGGCAAACTCAGGCATATCAACTATCCTTTTCACTTCATCTCTTTAAAACCACGCCTTTTTGTGCTCTACTTCAAGAGGGAATCACCCCTGTCCACTGCCCTAACTCTGCTTCTGCAAAAAAGAGGAAGAGAATCAACAATCCAAATTCTCCCTCTGTAAAACATAGTTCTATGTTGCTTGAACCAACCACAAGGATAAAGATGGAAAAGAAATCTTGCCATTACTGAGACTTTTGTCAAGACTACTTGTCTCAGCCTGCCAAGGACTGTGAGAGATTTTTACCTCCAGATAATAAGGGATTTGTCCCCTTTTCCCCACATTTTATACAAAATGTCCCTGTGCAAAACGA